ACTGTTTTTAAGTAAAAGTGTCACTGAAATAAAATTCCTATACAATAATGTAACCCTTTCCAAGTGTAAATGTGTGTGTTTTTTTTGTAAAGTCACAGAATTCTATACCATCACACTCGAATTCCAGAATATTTCCATCACTACCAAAAGAGATGCTGAGTGCTGTTTCAGGCATTCAACATGCTTCCCTCTACCACCTTCTGGAGTCACTGAACTACTTTGGTTTTAAGGATATGAATGTTCTGCACATGCCTGACAAATGGAATCATACAATGTGTGTCATTTGTGTCTGGTTTCTTTTCCATAGGAGAACATTTTCAAGGTTTATCCATGTTGTAGCATGCTGCTGGACTTCATTCCTTTTCATGGCTGAATAATATTCCATTGTGTGAATGTGCTAACTTTTGTTCACCCATTCATCAGTTAATGGACATTTGTGTTGTTTCCACTTTTTGAATATTATGAACAACACTGCTGTGAACTTTTGTGTTGCGTTTCAGTGTTATTGTGTTGTTAATCTCTTGAGTAGTAAAATTGCAGTGTCAGATGGTAACTCTATCTGTAACCTTTTCAGTAACTGTCACAGTTCCTTGAATTGTTCGAATTTCAATCATGTGGTCCCATCACAACAGGGAGGTGACCACCCTCCACCATATGGTTGTAGTGATAAATCTGCATGACTCAGTCTGTATCAAAATACTTGCTATAACACTAATATCTTGGGCTCACCCTCTGATAACCCTTGTCAAGTAGCCAGTCCTTATAAAGACCCAATAAATTAGGTTCCAGGTCATCATATTTGTAACTTTGTGGAATGCGGGTGTCAACCCCTTCAGATCCTTCCCTTCCCAGGCCTTATCCTCTAGACACTCAGATATTTGTCCCTTGTCTCTAGCTGTTGGAGGGTGTCCTGCTCAAAAGAGCCTGCATTCCAGGGGCCATGATTCCACCATCCTCCTGGCTTCATAGTTCATCCGTGTTTGGAAACCTCTGTCACTGTGCTGTATCCATGCACCACATCCTCTTACACAAGCTCACTGGCTTGATTCCACCCCAACTTTACTCTTTCCTCATCCTCATAGGTCTCTGCACTGCTGGACCTCAGTTACCCCCACAAGTCCTGTCGCCCTGTTGGTCAGGATCCCCTGCCATGTTCCTGCTCAGTCAAGGATGGACCTGAATTGTTGAGGAAGAACTAACTGTTGAGGAAGAAAACAGAAGCAATACCGTACAGGGCTCTCTCCTTTGTGTCTTTCCCATAGAGGTTGTATTTGCTGGCGATGTAGTTGAGAATGGCTCTGGTCTGCACCAGCTTCATCCCATCGATTTCAACCATTGGCACTTGCTGGAACATCAGACTCCCATCTTTGGAAAGAAGAAACGAATCATACTATTGAAGTGGAGGGAAATGTTTTATGAATCAAAATGTTTGTTGAAATGACTATTTCCCATTCGGATCATAGTAGTTCCTGTATTTTTATGTTTTGATTTTTCCCTTCATGGTTTTTCAGAGACATGAAAGAGGTCCACCAGCTGGTTGCCGAGGCAAATGGGAAGTTCCCCTATGAAGTCTCACAGGGTTCATGGCATGAAGGCCAGTTCTAAGAGAGACTCCTGTGTAGAGTGTCTTCTGTGCTCTTCAAATCCCACCCCTGGAAGGTGAGCAGGGAGGCCCGTTGTCCCAGCCCCACCGCTGCGGGCCTGGCCCTTTATCTCCCTCCTCACACACTCACTCGGTCTTCCCTCTAATTCAGCACCACCTGGTTGTCTCAGTCTGCTGTGTTGCTACGACACTGCCTTGCCAAACCCGTCAGAGAAAAGAATTCAAGGGAGCTGCTGGGCCTGTTTCTCCTCTCTTCTCTCTAAAGCATGTGCTTGCATGTCCCTGGGTGGGAAGGCTGTGTGGGATCCTGAATGCACACAGCTCACTCAGGGCGCAGAAAGGCAGGAGACAGCGAGGACGGGGCATTCTTGGGCACTGGGACAATTCCTTTAGCGAATACTCAGACTTGCAGCCCATCCTAACCCTGAGTGGGCTGCAAGACCTGCTCAAGGAGCCCCACCCCTACCTTTACCACGTTTCTCCCTCTCCACTGGCCCCACTCCCACCGTGCACATACATAGTATTGCTGATATTAAAATCGGAACTTTTGACATCTTCTAGGTATTTCTGTCTGAGAAATTTAGATTCTTGGACTTACCATTTTTTAACTTATTTATGTCTTCAGGTTTCTTTATAAGTTCCTCGTCAAACTGAAAAGGAGAAATAGTCAATGAGTTCTTGTTAATTCATGCCATAGCATGATTGAACTTGAATGGCCCCTGTCCAGTACAGACTATGGAGAAGGTAAGATTTCTGAGTTTGGCAGGGTTGCACAGAGGAGAGTGATCCTGGCCATCAGGAAACTTAGATTAGAGCCACCAAAATAAAAGCATAGGATGCAGCACATAATTGCTCATTTTGAAGGTTCAATCCACCTCCACCTTGTCTCCACTTCTGTCAATAATCAGGTCATGATTTGAGAGGGGGATATACTGGAGGGAAGGGACTGGGAAGTTCTCTAGTTATGGAGCTTTAATATCTCTGGGAAGCCTTTCTTTCCCTGTGAGATCAGGACAGGGTATTGGGTGTCCCCCAGCATGGGGCCAGTGACCTCGAAATGCCACTAATATGGGTATATATTATAGATACTACTGTATATTACTCCTGCATTTAACTTTTTATTTAGAAAGGGGTCTTGATGGTGAAAAGGGTGGGAATTGGGGGTTTCTACCTTGCTCAGTGGGACACTATTTTTGATCTACATGATCCCATAGGTCAGACCATACAGACAGTGAGGTTGTGGGCAGCAATCTATAAAGCGCTCAACTCAGGGCAGCATAACGGATGGTGGGTGGTCTCTGTGGTAGGGTGGTCGAGATGGGATGGGGCTGGCTGGTGTGATGTAGCTTGTGAGGTTGAGGGAGATGGATGGGGTTGTGAGGACGGCCCAAGAGTCTTACCAGGAGCCTCTGGGAAGCCTTGACCCCACCCTCCTCAGTCAGGCAGGACCAGATGAGAGGAGGCCTGGGGTACTCTCAGGGTCTCCCCTCCTTCCCCCTCCTGTGCTGAGCTCATCCTGCCCAGGGGCTGTGAATGCATCCTTGAACCCCAGAGCTGGACCACAGTGAAAACTGTTGGTTGTTGATTTATAGAAATTAAACACACTAGTCTGGCACTATTTGCATTTTCTGTGTACCTCATTCTTCATGAACTTGAGACAGGACCAAGCCAACGACCCATGCATTTGTGCAATCCCGAGGCTCAGGGAAACATGTAGTTAGAGGTCTAAGGGAGCACACTAGAGGTTCCCCTCATGGGACGCCACCTCTCCTGAAACCCTCCTTTACTGCTCCCCTGCGAGGGACCAGATGTCCAGAGTCTGTCCATGACCCCCTCCCCAGGACACCCTTCCTGACTCCCTCTGACCTGGGCTGAGAAGTGCTTTTCTCACTCACACCTCTAGAGGGCAGCACTCAACAGAGTCCCACATTTGCTACAGGGAATATGGCAGCTGAACACTGTGAAATGCTTGAGTGTCCTCATAGATGCTCCCGCCACTCCTCTTCCTCATGTATTTGCTTGTCTGCATCCTCACTAGAGTGTAAGCTGCCTGAAGGCAGGGACTGTGTCTGTCTTGTTCATCCGTGTGTCTCCAGGACCCAGCACAGAACTTGGCACTTAAAGGTGCCCAACAAAAATCATTGCTGAATGAATGTATTAAACCTAACAGGTATTTTGTTACAATCTTCCCCTTACATATTTTTGGTTTATATTTTAACTTTAGCAACATTATAACATTTATTTCCTCATATTCTTGTTTTTTATTATGGAGATTTCAAACATGCACAAATATAAACGAAAAATTATAATGAACCTGCTTGGACCCATCAACCAACTTCAGTAATGATCAGCTCAACACAATCCTGTGTCATCTATACGCTTATCCACTCTCCCCCTTGGAATAATTCAAAACAAATGTCAGATATTAAATATTTCACCTTTAAATACTCCAATACATATTTCTAAAACACAAGAATAGTTTTGAAAGTAACCAGAATGCATTATCACATTGAACACATTTATAATGGTTAATTGATACTTAATGTTAGTGTTTCTAATTGTTGTATAAATGTCATATATAATATTTTATGGTTTTCAAAATCAAAATCCAAATAATGCCCACACAAGGTGATTAGTTTCTCAAATTTAATTTAAGTGTTTGTTTATTCCCTTTGATAACAAGATAGTTAATAACAGATTAGGTCCTATCTGTTCATCTCTTACTAAATGATAATTTTTTTAATACAAAACTCTAAGCAGATCATTTAGTAAGAAAACTCTCCTAGCTTAAGTGAGAAAGAGGCTTTCAATCAGTTTTGATCCAACTTAAGATGAACTCAGGACCTACCTCCACTCCAGCTGCAGCCAGGAGCCACCGGATACACTCCATCCTGCCCCGTCCATTGAAGTAGTGAAGCAAGGGCTTCCCCGCCATGACAGCTGTCTCCTGGTTTCTCTAAACCTGAATGAATGAATGAATGAACAATGGCGAAAACCACAGAAGCAAAATGCACCTTATGACATGTGGTGAACGGCACCAACAATGCAGAAGAGGGTCAGCCTCCATCATGGCAGGGTTGGAAGGGTCTCTGGAATGTCTTCCTTGACCCAAATTCTTACCCCTGCAGCCAACCGTGGAAAAATGCACCATTGACAGGTCTGCACTGGGCCAGATCTGGCTGTCTTGGCAGGCTGAGAGCTTTGAGTTGGTCATAAGAACACATGGGTGGGTCTTAGGGAGGGGGAAGGATTAGAGAACTAATATTTTTTGAACACCTCCCAGTGGTCCTGACCCAGTGCTAACCCTTTGAAATACATTATACCTTTAATTCTCAACAGCTCCACGAAATAGTTACTATCTCTGTTTTTCAGTTCATGAAACCGTGGCTCAGAGCTTAAATGACATGTTCAGTCAAACTCCAGCTAGTGACGCTCCATGGAAATCCACACCCAGGACTAAAACGAGGGCAGGGCTGGAACCCACCCAGATGTGGGCCCTGGGAGCCTGGGAGGAGCCTTGAAGCCAGACCTTTGTTTTCCCCCAATATTTATACTTACAACAGTGCGTTGTTCACTCTTACATTTCGATTCCAATGACCTGCGCCTTCCAGCTACGCCAATCTCTGTGCTTTAAAAAACTACTCACCTGCTCCTGTGAGTACCTTGTTTTCCCTCCATGACTCCCTGATTTGGGAGTTTGAGAAGTCATGTAAACCAGTGATTCTCAGCTGGGCTGACTCTCCCTCCCCACTCCCTGGAGGACATCTGGGGAAATTTGGGGTTGTTAAAACTGGAAGGAAGTCTCCCCATCACTGGGTAGAGAGCAGAGGTGCCTCTGATGTAGGTGGGGGTGGGGTGGGAGGGGCTGTCTTCCATGTGCATCTGATTGTCCACCAGCAGTCAGTCTGCCTTTCAATCAGCTTTTTCATCAACCATGTTATACTGACAGATCCTTTTACTGGGTATTTAGCTGGAAACACCCACGGTAGATGGCGCTCACTACTGTATGATGTGATCCTCCCAGAACAGAGTATTTTATAAAATATAGCATTTTTCCTCAAGTAGTAGCACCCTAGTCTACTGTCACCAGACGAGGAAGGAACGTCCCCCACACTGTGTTCCTTCTACAAGTACAAAGTAAAATGAAAAGAAAAAGCGAGGCTGTTCATCTTCACCGGGTCAACAGTATTGATGAAATGCTGATTGCTTGTAAGATTTGTAAACCAACTGTCACCATAGAGATGTAAGAGGAGTAAGGTTTGCATAGTTGAGAAAAAATACACATGATAACACTATCGTCTACTTCATTCCTTAAGTCTAATTCAAATTCTAAAATAAATATTATTCAGTTAAAAAAAAAAAAGACAGTGGACAGGACGGCTCCCCACAACAAAGGATTTCCCAGCCTAAAATGTCAGTAGGACCAAGGTCCATAAACCTTGCTCTGGCCAATGTCCATGTTTGCCATGAGTTGGCTGAACCCCAGAGGGAGAGAGGCACTTGCCAGCTGAATAATCATCACACAGACTGAATTAAAACCTACTTCTCCTGACGTCCGGACTTACTTATTTTGATTGTGATAAATCTTAACTGAGAGTTTCCACAGCCCACAGAGCATCACCAGATCACGATTCGCACTTGCTGTGTGTTGTTGACCACGTCTACAGAGAAAAAACTTCACCATGAACACCTACACTCTCTCACGCCCTGGTCATCTCCTCGGATTGTCCAAAATGTTATTCTTCTTTTTTTCTCTTCCTATCGTTACTGAAATTTTCTCTTACTGAAGTTCTCATGCCTCCTTTTCTGAATTCTTCATCTTGACATTTCTGTAAAGATGTATCCAACACTAACTGAATAAACAACTCGAACTGTCCCCTGAGAACAACAAGAAGTCACGATGTGTGTCTAAAGCAGAGTTTTTCTTGTGCTAAAGACACATTTTAAAGGAGTTTCTGGTGACCTAGAAGTGAAGATGCGAGGCTCTATGAAGAGGCATAAAATCAGTACTCACCTTATGGAAGTCCCTCTGCCACTTGGCTCAGTAACTCAGTGCCACCTCCACATGGATTTATAGGTTTGTGTTCCAGTTGAATAGCTCCTCCTCTCTGAAGAGGGGAGAGTTCAGTTGGAGCAGTTTCTCCCGCAGTGTTCAGGGCCAGGGATTCCATGGTAGATTAAAAAAAAAAATGATGTGTCATCTACTGATCACATACAACTGGTATCTGTGTCCTTTTCAAGGTTGGCAATTAGAGATTAAACACAAAATTTAACCTCCAGTCAGGGAAGTATGGCTTTTGGGGAAAAATAAAATAAAAACTGCTGTAAGGTTTTCATGAACTGGATCTAAGGACTAAGGCAGATGAAAAACCTTTCCTTTGGGGACACCAGAGAGCTGGAACTATTAAAAGGAAGTTTAATCTCTGACTGCTTTCTGTATTGGGTTGCAGAAAAAAGACAGGACACCCAGTTAAACGTGAATTTCAGACATCATAAATTTTGTGTAAGTTATGTCTTAAACATTTGCAGGAAACATACAGATGTATCGTTTACCTGAAATCCACATTTCACGGGTATCCTATATTGTGTCTGGAATGCCAGGCTCTATTTCCCTTTGTCCTCTGATCTCACTGCTAAAAGACACTGAACAGTCCCCTTACTTTTTCAATTGCAGGGAGAAAATGGTTTGTTCTCGGATCTGGGCCATCTTGGCATCTTTTTGATCCGGTGGGTATAGTGGCAAAAACATGATCATTTCACCAAATCCACCATACCTTCTGTGTACATATCAATCCCGAAAGACAAATGACTGAACTGTCCAATGGCTCCTACCTTAGGTTTTATAGTTTAAGAATGAATAAGAATTGAGCATCAGGAGGTGGTAAAGTAATTCACTCCACAGGGTGAAATGTTAATACACCAGTCATTCAGCTATAATTTTTAAATTAATTTTAACATTTCATTCTAGAACAAGTCATCGATTTAGACATATGCCTAATATATTTCTTATACACATGACCACTTATAGGGACAGAGCACATCAGTGACCCGTCCAGAGTCACAAGCATGAGAGAAACAGGTGGAATCACCCCAGGCGGTCCTAAGACCACACCTAGGGTCTGCCACCTCTGCTGGGCTGTGTCCTGTGCACAATTCATGTGATGCTCTGGCACCACCTCAGCCATGCCCAGAGAGAGTCCTGGCACAGAGACCCCAGTCCTGCCCCCTCCCTCCCCCATCCTGACACACCACCAGGCCCCCGAACGTGCCCAATACCAGCACTTCTCCAATTATTTCCCACAGAACGTGGTGCCACAGCCCTCTCCACGTGCCATTGCCCAACTCTGGTCTCATGTGCATCCCTCAGGACTCCACCCCAAATGTGCCCTGAAATAGCGCAGCTCCTCACGCAGCTCCAGCAGTGCCTAGTCCCGGTGAGTTTGTTGTTTTGTTCCAAACAGGGCTTCCTACAAGTTTCTTCTGAATAAAAGCTTTCTTGAAATATATGCACATAGCATCATTTTTGCCCCTTAAAGTGTACTATTCAGTAGTTTTTAGTACATTCAGAAACCATCACCGCATTCTATTTTCAGAACATTGTTATCACCCAAAAGGAAATCCAGTATTCTTACAGTCACTCCCAGTTTCCTGCCTGCCTCCACCACTCCAGCCCCGTGTAACCACTCAGCTACTTTCTGTTTCTGTGGATTTGAACATCTGGGCATTTCATACACTTGGTGGTGGTGGGTTTTTTTTAATTGAAATACCACCACTTACAATGTGTCAATTTCTGGTGTACAGCCCAATGTCCCAGTCATGTGTACACATACATATATTCATTTTCATATTCTTTTTCATTAAAGGTTACTACAAGATATTGAACGTAATTCCCTGTGCTCTACAGCAGACACTTATTTTTTTAATCTATCATTTCAGACATTTGGAATCATACAATACTTGGCCTTTTGTGTCTGGTTTCTTTCATTTTGTATTTTTCAAAGTTCATCCCATGTTGTCACATGTATCAGTAATTTACTCTTGGTCATGGCTAAAAATCCTCCATTGTGTGGATGTGCCACCTCTGATTTATCCATTCATGTGTTAACGGACTTTTGTGTTGCCTCCACTTTTTGAATATTATGAACAACACTGCTATGAACTTATGTGCGCAAATTTTCACGTGGATGTGTTTTTGACTCTCAAGTCAAAACGCACCTACAAGTGGAATTGCTGAGTCCTATGGTAACACTACGTTTAACTTTTTGAATAACTGCCTAGAGTTCCTCACACGGTTTTAGATTTCAGTCCTGTGGTCCTTTCACAACAGAGAGGAGAACCCCCTGCCCACCAAACTGAGGTGCACTGAGTAAATCTGATTGCTTCACACCTGTCTTAAAATGTTTGAGATAATCCTGGCATCTTGAGGACCAGCCTTTGTTAACACTGTCAAGTGGTTGATAAGTTAAGTTCTTGGTCATCGTTCTAATAATTTCTGGAATTTAAGATCAACCCCTTCAGATCCTTCCCTTCCCAGGCCTTATCCTCTAGACAGTCAGATAATTTGTCCTTTGTCTCTAGTTGTTGGAGGGTGTCCTGCTCAAAGGAGCCTGAATCTCTGCAATTATGGTGCTACCATCCTCCTGGCTTCATAGTTCATTCATGGTTGGAAACCTCTGTCACTGTGCTGTATCCATGCACCACATCCTCTTACACAAGCTCACTGGCTTGATTCCACCCCAACTTTACTCTTTCCTCATCCTCATAGGTCTCTGCACTGCTGGACCTCAGTTACACCCACTAAGTCCTATAGTGCCGTTGGTCAGGATTGCCTGCCACGTTCCTGCTCAGTCAAGGATGGACCTGAATTGTTCCTACTAACGGTTGGAAAAACAGAAACAATATTGTACAGGGCTCTCTCCTTTATGTCTCTCCCATAGAGGTTGTATTTGGTGGCGATGCAGTTGAGAATGGCTCTGGTCTGCACCAGCTTCATCCCATCGATTTCAACCATTGGCACTTGCTGGAACATCAAGCTTCCAGCTTTGGAAAGACGAAACGAAGCAGAGTGAAATGACTGATGAATCATACCTTTTCAGGATGAAAAAATGTTCATTGAAATGACTAACGATGTAATGTGAAACCCTAAAATGACCTGTACACCTAAGCAGAATAGGACTGTTTTCAGCTTCCAATAGTCCTTCTTTTCCTCATCCAGCTGCCTTTTACTTTTCAACCTATTACTACATTTATCTTTTTATTTCCCATTCAGCTACATGGGAGGTCCCGTGTAATTCTATGTTGATTTGTCTTCATGGATATATTAGAAAGATGTTGGAAGAGAGGGCCCCAGCCGGCTGATATTTCCACTGGGAAGTCCCAGAGTAAGTCTCACGTTATTTGCTGCAGTGTTGGAGGGAGATGTTCGCCTGGGGGTGGTCCCTCTCTCTGCTCACTGAGTCTGCAATATTCCCAGGATACTCCCTTGTCAAACCCATCAGAGAAAAAATTCAAGGCAACCGCCGGGTCTGTTTCTCCTCTCTTCACTCTAATGCATGAGTTTGTGTGTCCTCGGGTGGGAAGGCTGTTGGGGATTCTGAGCGAATACAGCTCACTCAGGGTGCAGAAAGGCGGGAGACCGCAACGAGATGGCACTGTTGGCACTGGGGCTGGTTCCTTTAGCAAATATTCAGACTTCCAGCCTGTCCTAAACCTGAGTGAGTGGCAAGACCTGCTCTGGGAGCCCCACCCCTTACCTTTAACCACTTTTCTCCCCCTCCACTGGCCCCACTCCCACCGTGCACACACATAGCATTACTGGTATTAAAACCTCAACTTACGACTTCTACTAGATACCTTTATCAGAGGAACTCAGTTCTTTAGACTTATCGTTGCTCAACATATCCAAGTCTTATGGAGTTTCTGTAAATTTCTCCTCAAACTGAAAAGGAGAAATAGTCAATGAGTTCTTGTTAATTCATGCCATAGCACTATTGAACTTGAATGGCCCTGTCCGGTACAGACTATGGAGAAGGTAAGATTTCTGAGTTTGGCAGGGTTCACAGAGGACAGTGATCAGGCCACGTGGAGTTTTAGATTAGAGCCACCAAGATAAAAGCATGGGTTGCAACACATAACTGCTCATTTTGAAGGTTCATTCACCTCCACTCTGTCTCCATTTTTATCAATTATTAGATTGTAATTTGGGAGGGGGATGTCATTGGTGGGAAGGGGATGGGAAGTTCTTCAAGTGATGGAGTTTTAATACCTCTGGGAAGCCTTTCTGTCCCTGTGAGTCAGGACAGGGTATTGGGTGTCCTCCAGCATTGGGTATCCATGGGGCCAGTGACCCCCAAGATGCTGCCAACAGGGACCTCTGCTGTAAGTTACCTCTTTTATTCAATTTTTATCCTAAAAAAAGGTCTTGATGGTGAAAAGTTTGGGAATTGGAGGCTTCTACCTTGCTCAGTGGGACACTTCATTGTCAATCTGCATGATCCCATAGGTCAGACCATACACATAGTGAGGTGTGTGGGCAACAATCTATAAAGCGCTCAACTCAGAACAGCATAAGGGGTGGTGGGTGGTCACTGTGGGAGGGTGGTCGAGGTGAGATGGGGCTGGCTGGTGTGATGTAGCTTGTGAGGTTGAGGGAGATGGATGGGGTTGAAAGGACCGTCCAGAAGTCCTGACCAGGAGCCTCTGGGAAGCCTTGCCCCCAACCTCCTCAGTCAGGTGGGGATGGACAAGAGGAGGCCTGGGGTGCTCTCAAGGTCTCCCCTCCTTCCCCCTGCTGTGCTGAGCTCATTCTGCCCAGGGGCTGTGAATGCATCCTTGAACCCCAGCACTGGACCACAATGAAAACTGTTGGTTGTTGATTTATAGAAATTAAGCACACTAGTCTGGCACTATTTTCATTTTCTGTGTACCTGATTCTTCATGAACTTGAGACAGGACCAAGCCAATGTCCTGTGCACTTGTGTAATCCCGCGGCTTGGGGAAACATGTTGTTAGGAGACTAAGGGAGCGCATTAGAGGTTCCCCTCATGGGACGCCACCTCTCCTGAAACCCTTCTCTACTGCTCTCCCTGGAGGGACCAGCTGTCCAGGGTCTGTCCATGACCCCCTCCCCAGGACACCCTTCCTGACTCCCTCTGACCTGGGCTGAG